CAAATGGACTATAAACAACCTATTTAATTATTTAAATCACAACTACAATAGTACAAACAAGATATGATCACTAAAACCCTAGTTTCGACATAAATTTCACTAGGGTAACAATTTCTCCTAAACAATCTAATGGCCAATCTAACACATGAATCAATACAAAACTAGCACTTACCCTAGTATCTCAACCTTTATTAAAACATAGATACAATAAACCTAAGCCGAGATACTTACAATTACAACAGAACATGCAAGTGCATCACAAAATTATATGTATATGTCCTACGTTGGCATATGCATTCAATATTCGTTACAAACCAAAATAAATGAAAGGACTATACAACTTAAAGCTAGTCTCTTCGATGCTCAATTGCACCCTCCTTTTCCTTACCTCTATTAGAGCCTTCATCTGTAAAATGTAACCACAGGATGAGTTAAAGACTCAGTAACTAAATAGTCTGATTAACTACTCGTGTGTGAGAATAGTTTGTGTGTATGTGAAGTAGCATAGTAAAATACATAAAATTTTCATAAATTCACATATATGATTATAGTATGATATGCATGATCAACATACCACCTTATACCCTCCTTATGTCTTTTAACTAAATTTGTAGGCTGACAATTCGATAGGACTAAGTTCATGTGACTAGAGTGGCTCAAGCTCACCATTAGTAAGAGGTAGCCTCGGTCAAGAGTGCCTTCACCCACAATGGATCACAAATTCCCCTTGCCCACAAATATTAGTGGTGTTGATGCCCAATCTATCACTTGTAGTACTGAAACTTTCAAACAATATAATATTGAGCACCAAGCCTTCTATGGTGCCAATATACTATATAGATTTCCAAACAATGTCTCAACAACACACTAGGGTGAACTCCTACCCTCTTATAATGATCATGCCAACATACTTATTGCATTCAATACATACTCATGACTTATTAAGGATCACAGATGCTTATTTCCACGTAAACCATAAAATTTCGCAAGTAGTTATATATAAAAATAGCATTTACTCTTCAAACACTAAAACATTAAATAAATTTTTATTCCACTTCACATAACTTCAAAATCATAATTACATACTAATATTAAATCAAAACATTAACTTTAAAATCTACTCACTACCATCCAAACATACAAAAAGGGAGATTAGACAATCCGATTATCTCAACCCTTTTGTCACTAAAAGGGGTTCTCCGTAATAATTATGACCCATTCCTTTAGCCAATTTAGCTCTTAATACAGGATCATTCAAGTCAGGTTTTTTGTTATTGGGATAGGTGAATTCTTATAGATCCATCCTCTAAAAGAACCGGACATGATAATTTTTCATCATCCGGCTCGAGCACGTGTTATCATGGTCAACCAACAACTCCACACGCGTCCATTAGCACCATAAGGCTCGATCAAAGGTTAATCTATATAATTAAACCCTTAATTGTCAATCCCTACACTAATTATCACATTTTTAACATAACTAGGGGTACCTATTATGCTCAAAATCTCAATTTAGCCCTAACAATTCTTACAACACATTTCATTAATTCTAATTAACATCCTAACACATATCCAACACCACTACATTGCTCACATTATCCTCTCCCTTCAAATTTTTACCTAAGGTTTGTCCAAACCCTAACCAACAACTCCAAAGCATTATATAATCCATAAATATAGGTTTAGAGGTTTGATTTAACTACCCAAGACCTTAACTAAAGCAATGGGTTCAACCATTATCTAAGAAAAATTGAATCAAAGGTCCAAAACACTCTAATCATTAGAAAAGTCTGAATATAGGAAGAAGGAGAAGTGTAGGAAACTTATCTAAAGCTAAATCTTACTCCAAATGCTTCCAAAGTGACCCTAAGGTTGAGCCTTAGCACCAACTTATCATCTCCTATCGATTCCTCATGTTCTCTCTATCCTACTTCTTATTTTCTATCTAATTTTGCAATTTGATAAACCCAAGAATTTGTACATGTGTCGCAGCATATTGGTATGCCTACATGACGCATGGTACAGAGAACTCCACACATGTTTTGAATCTCTCTCTATGTAATGGTCCAATTGTAGTGTGATCTAGCCTTCTTCTAAGGCTTCTAATGATCTATAAGCTCTATTAGTCCCCCAAAACATCATTAATTAAAAATTTGCTTAATTTGACTAAAATATCCTTATAAACATTAGAAATTTCCAAAGTTGAAATCAGAATATTACAGTGGTAGAAGCAGCCTTTACAGCAGTCAAGCAGGAAACGGCCCTATGAATTAAGGTTATAGCTGCTAGATTGGAAATGGCCTTAAAAGTTGAAGATTTAATTTTCTTACTCTTCTTCTTCAGGGCTGCATCTTTTACAGGTTTCCTCTTCAGGTGGTGGCTGAAATAAGAATTTCGTCCTGCATATTGGTCCTGGATTTCTTGGACAAGTTGAACTTGAACCACTCAAGGAGACGATGATTAGAGATTGGCAGCACGTTCAACTAACGGTTTAAGTCCTACTTCTATTAGCAAAAGAATTTAAAGTATTCCAATTTTTACAAAGGATGGAGGGTGAGAGGCAAAGTATAAGAAGCCTTCTTTTCAAGGTGTTTAGGAAAAGGGCCTCAAAGCTCAAGAATGTAAGCCACGGGCCATGGCCCATAGCTTTAAAAATCATATGGGCCAGTGAAAGTTGTCAAAAGGTTTCTTCTCCATGAATTCCCTTATCCCATCATATAGCAGCATAGAAACATAGCACCTAGGGCTGCTTGCCCTATGCAATAGAGATATTTAACTATAAGGAGGTGTTGAATCGCAGGCTTGCCTCCCCCCGGGGAAAAAGATCTACTGACTCAATAGCACTTATAGAAAAACCAAGTGTTCTTCATTTGTGGGGGCCTAATTAGAAGGATGGTTCGCATACTTTGTGATAATAGAAGTATACAAACTAGCATTTTTCACCCTTGCTTCAACTTTGGCTCTTAAAGAGGCATATATCAGATTAGCAGTAGGAGTTTGGTAAAAATCTACCTCAGTTGTCATAGGGAGCCTTAGGAACATAAACACGTCAAGCAGAGTGACGATTGTGGGGCTTAGTTAAAAAATAAAAGTATTGCAGTTGGGGGACTAAAAGCATAGGACAGATATGAGAAAGTAAACAGGAACATCAACATTAACTAAGGAAAGTTGAACCACATTGAATAGGCCTACTTCCTTCCAATGAGACTCGTACATAGGTCAGAGACATTCTACTCAGATGGACTAAGAAGATAGGGACTAAGGCTAGTTGCGAAGCTTTTTACAGGAAGGCTCCTTAAAGGAAACGATCTCTTGAGCCAGCAATAAATCCTTAATGGAAGATAATGGCCAAGGGTTGGGGATTGTAGGGCTTGATGGTTTCATGTCCTTTGGAGTAATAGATAGGTGGCCTGTATTGGTCATGACGGCCGGGGTGAAACTATATGGAGGAGTGCTGAACCCAGACGAATGTAGAAAATTTTAAAAATGTGAAAAAAATAAGGAAAATAAAGAGATCATAGGAAGAAAGTGCTTACTGAAAACGGAGAGAAGCAGGAAGTCTGAGAGAGGTCAGAGGTTCCTTCCAGAGGAAAGAAACCTATTACAGAAGAAAGAAACAATTTAAAAGTAAGAAAAGGAGAATAGAAAGGTCAATATCAAGTCGACATCTTGAGATGGTGCGAGTAGGTTATGAATAGTGACTAAATCCTCAAATAGATTAGCAAGGACAATGGCTTGAACATTCTAGGCCGTATCAATTGGAGAGGCCATTATCAAAAGGATGAACAAAGGAGAATGCAAGAAGACAAGGCAAAGAATCTTGAAGGGCAAGGAAAGTAAGGAGCACGGAAGAGCAGAAGGAATGATTAATATGGATAGAGAGGCTTATGGTCTCAAGAGGCTTGAGGGAATGAAATGGTGCATTTGTTCTCATTCAAACATATCACGTGGCCTATGACAATTGGCCACCCGTATGCAGGGGGCATTGTTTAGGCCTAAAAATGAAATGACAGCCTAATGAGAGGTAAAAGACACAATAGACCTAAAAAGCATAACCCAATTGGCTTTTAAGAGAAAAGAATGTCACTTATGAGCTTGATGTAGCCCTCAAGACTTGAGATGACTAGATGTACGAGACCGTTGAGAGAATATGGTGTAACATACCAAGAATCTCACGGCCTATGCTAAGGGATCCCTGATATTTCACGAACGAGCTATGGATCTCGTGAGAATAATGACCTCGACTGAGTACTTATAAAAGGAATAGAGGGTCATAGAAGAGGAGGACGGACAATCAATCAATAACACCTACTAGCATTTTTTTATCCAAATTTTTCTTGAATTCTTAGATAGTTTTAGGATCATTTACAGCTTTCGTGACTTTTACAATTATGTACTTTGCATACTTATTAACTAAACGCTCATTTATTCCTATCCCTTCACATCCTTACATATGGGTAAATTGTGTGGTAAAGGAGCCTGAGAGTATATTGTTATCTTTTGAGACTCAGCATCTATAGTACACTTAGTATTTAGTTTTACAAAGAAACAATTTCCCTTTAACGATGTAATGTTATTTTTACTGTTAACAAAAAGTTAACTTTAATTATTAGTTGACTAGAAAATTATAAAAAAGACAAAAAATTATAGAAAATACTCAAAATTACAGACAAGAACTCAAAAATTACAAACAAGGGACTAATTTTCTTGGTCACTTTCTCTAATTTTTCGATCAACTAATAGTCAAAGTTAATATTTGTCAACAATTGGGATAATATTGTACTACTTTCAAATGTTAAATGGGAACATTGCATATCATAAGCAGATTTTAGGGTTTCAAATATTCCTAATCCTATATTTTCGGGATAAATTTACCATTCAAACCATAATTTTATAAATGATATGTAATTAGTTACCAATATCTCTTTTATCCTTAAATTTTTTTAATTGTATTCAATAGTTTGTGCGCTAATTTTTTAATATTGGATTATTTCTTTCAGCCTCCTCTTCGTCAATTGCTTGTTATGGTGCCAACATAAAAAAAAAAAAATCAAAAATCGAAAAAAGGGCTTCCCATCTAAGAGTTGTCAAGCAAAGTTGAAATCTTCAGAAAAAATTGGTGAGTGTACACTTTTTAGATGTTTTCTACTTTATGTTTATTTTATTTTAATTTTATTTCTATTATATAATCCTTTAAATGTTCAGTTATGAAAAAAGATCTCCTGCTACTTTTATGTCAATTTTTTTAAAAAAACTTCAGACGACACGGTTGCTTTTCTTGTTTTAGTAAAATTGATATTTATATTGGTTGATTTTTTTTTCTTTTTTGTTTTACAAAAAATTAATAAGTGAAGTTTCAGGTTTGACCTTATTTTTATTGAACTATAGGTTAAAATGGCTATAAAAAAATCCTAAATAGAATCAGTTTTTGCCCATCATAACTAAAATAAGGTTAAAATGAATAAATACTAAAGTAAAATATGATTTTAATATATATATATATATATATTTGTATTTAATAACTTTATAAGGATTTACCCTATTTAAATGGATCAAATTAAATAACATACGAATCTTGATTTACATGTTCCTTAAATATTGTTTGGAAGTTACTTCGGGATGACTGCAATGGAATGGCCAAAAACATTGTGTCATTGTCTGGAAAAGAAAAATTTAAAATAAATCGGGGTGGCTTGAAAACGGGGGCGGATTTTTGTTTCGTCTTTTTTTCCGGGGCGGGGGTAAAATTAACTTTGGGTCCCACTATTATGTAATTTCACATTTTGGCCCCCACTTATAATTTGTTTCTCGATCCGTCCCCGTTTGGAGTGGCATCTCCGGTCTCCAGCTATCAAGTATTAACCATTCTGAACTCACTTTTTTCCAACTCTAAAATGAGAGGTTCAGGATAAAATGGCTTGAAATAAATAACAATATTACAAAATTATCTCATGCTTTCACACTCCCTCATCTCACTCTAAAATTGAAAATAATATACTCTCTTGATCTTATTAATATGATAGAAAGAGACAATTTATTTTGGTTGTATTTATAAGGCTTTATTATGATTTTTGTGCTTATCTTTATCCTTTTATCTATATTAAATGTTGGGAAGTTATTAAATATTAGAGTATTTTTTTTAAAGTATATATATTTAATAAAGATAAAGTTAAAAATTTGTTGAATTTTTAGATAGAGTTAATGAGATCTAATATTTTTCTTGGTTCCAATAAAACATATTAGAATTGATATATAAATAGAACTGGAAGGAGTAATTACAATGGATTCCATTCCATTAATTTTATAATAATTAGCAAATAGCAATCAAATTAAACTATTTATTCTTCCAATAAAACTTTCAAACAATGTAACATTCTTGGGTTCCACTCCATTTCATATTTTTATTAGCATTCTGTTTCATTAATATTTGTCTTGAATGGATTAAAAAACTGAAAATAAAATATTAGAGAGAGAAGAACAATTAAAAATAATAATTTTGAATTATTTTGGCCATTTTCTCAAGCATTCTTTAGCCTTTTTATGTTACCCATTTTATATAAAGGATGAAGCATCAAAGAATTTTTTCTTTTTTACATATGGTAAAAAATGCTTTCAACTTAAAATGCTTCTGATGACTATTGATTTGTCTATTGTATTGTACATGCCTTGCTTTTACATTTATTCTGTTTGGATAGATAGAAAACATAAAAGGAAAAGAAACATGAAAAAAATAGGAGAGAAAATGAATATTACCTTATTTGGATGAAAAGAGAAAAGTGAAAAAAAAAAAAAGAAAAAATGAAATGCAAGACCCATCACATCTTATTTTCAAGTTTTTCTCTCTATGGAGAGATTTTGGGAGGAAATTTGTCCTGCTTGCCCGACTCTCTCTTACTCTTTTTTTTTTTTTCCCTTGTTTTCGCTGGTGGTTGTTCACGCATCTTCTTATTTTCACAGCACCACCTTTAATGACACACTTCTCTTCTTTGACTCAGATTAGTTATCTCCCCATGGCAACTGGTAATTTCTGATAAATGTTTTGAATTTTTTTTTGATAATCCATGAAAACAAAGGCAAGACAACAAACAAAGCACAATATACTTGGAAAAAAACTAATTAACTAATCCTAGCGGCACTTAACATGGCTATGGCTTCCATAGCAGGGAAGACCAGTAAATCACTAAATCCATACTCTCACCAATCAGTAAATCACTCATTTCACAGTGTGGTTAGCTGCGACATTTACATAGAAATATTTTTTATTTTGATAATACTATAGTGGACTAGTGGTGGAGAAAGGTAAAGTTTATAATTTTTTTTATTTTATGTTATTATATTTAATTTTAATAACTTATCCACCTTTAATTTTTCAAATAAAAATAACATATTTTTAATAAATTATTTAATTTTAAAATATAATAAAATGAAAATATATTTTTAATGAATATTTTGATTTTAAATTATTTTTATGAAATTAATTTTAATATAATTTTCCTTCCATTTATTTTTATAAAGACAAATTATATGAAACATAATATATTTTGATATAAGGGTATTATAGTTATTGTAATATTTGCTCATTTTTTTTTTTTTCTCATTCAAATATAATAAGAGATAGTATTTTTTTCATAATTTTTTTTCTATTTTTCCCTCCTATTTTCTACCCTTCCGATTTTCCTTCCATCCAAATGAAGGGGAACGACTTATTTTTCTACGGTTCTATTCAGGTTGAATTTCTTTCAATGGCGGGTATAGACTTTGGGATCAATTTTGGGGCTGGGCTTGCAGTAAATATAGTGACAGCAGTAGGTCGACAAGCTTGCTATTGTTATGAATTCAACAAGCTTGTTATTGATATGGGTGATGAGCAAAACAACTTAATATCAACAAGAGATGGCATGCTAGTCCAGTTTGGAAAAGACAAAGCTAACAGTAAAGAGCCTCCAGGAGATCTTCAATTGCAGTTAAAGGCAGCAAATGACCTCCTAGACAAAGTGGAGAAGTTGAAAGGGAAAGCAGACGCAAAACAAAGCTGTTGCCTTGGGGTTTGCCCTAACTGGATATGTCGATATATTGTAGGCAAGAAAGCAGATGAGAAGACGAAAGCAATGAAGCAACTCAATAATAGTTTGAGACTGAAGCTCTTGTCTGCACATCGTCTATCACTTCGTCCGATGCAGCCATCAGAAGATTTTATTCTATTTAAGTGCATAGAAGAGGCACGCAAGAAAATCTTAATGGCACTGAGAGATAATGAGAAGACTAGAATTGGGCTTAGTGGAATGGGTGGTTGTGGTAAGTCATCCTTGTTAAGAGAAGTGCAAAGGGAAGTGGAAGAATCTAAACTTTACAAGACAGCATTCGCTGTAGTGTCCAATCCTCCAAATTACATAGCTATTCAAGACAGCATTGCAAACTGGATAGGCTTGCTATTTGAGAGGGAGAAAAATGTACCTGATAGAGCTGCAAGATTGTCGATGACAAGTGGAAGGGATGATAAAAAATATTTCATAATCCTGGATGATGTGTGGGATGTGCTTGACTTTGAAGCCATTGGGCTACCTGTTGGTGCAAAATGCAAGGTTCTTCTAAGTACTCGGCAACAACCTATATTTGACATCATGAAATTCGATGAAAAGATTTATTTGTCGATTTTAACGGACGAGGAATCTTGGGAATTGTTCCAAAGGCATGCTGGTGAAATAAAAGACCCATTCCCACAAGTGGCCCGAGAGATCACTAATAATTGTTATAGATTACCTGTTGCAATTAAAGCTGTGGCTAGTATATTAAGGGGCCATGAACTTCATGCGTGGACAGAATCATTAGCAACATTACAAGATCGGAGACGGCCACTAAATATTGAAAAAGGATTGGAAGATCCCTGTAGATGTCTGAAATTGAGTTTAGATTCATTGAAGGATGCAGAAGAGGTATCACTCTATTTATTATGTGCTCTGTTCCCCAACGATTCAGAAATCGCCATCGAAGTTTTGATCAAATTTGCATTTGGGTTGGGCGTATTTCAAGATATTGATTCATATCAAAGGGCTAGGTCCAAAGTGCGTGCAGCCATTGATAAGTTCCAAAACTACTGTTTGTTATTGAAGGAAGGACAGTTTGTTAAATTACATGACATGTTTCATGCTTTGGCCTTATGGGAAGCAAAGAAAAAAACTCAAGTGATTATGGGACCTAGACAGATTTTAGCCTTGATAGAGGCAGATCATATGAAAGATACAAATAGATTATATTGCCATGATATACAAGAAATTCCAGATCAATTGAACTGTCCTGAACTTGAGATACTATTTGTGTCCAATAATGGTGGGTACTCATCAAAATTCCCAAATATGTTTTTCCAGGAGATGACAAAGTTGAAAGTGCTGGCCATAAAAAATACATCTATTGGGACAAGCCCAAATCTACTGCTACCTGAATCAATTGAGGGACTGAAAAAGCTTCAAACTCTTTGCTGGAGAGGATGGACGTTAATCAATATCTCTATTTTTCAAAAACTAGAGATGCTTCATACTATTGAGCTATTATATTGTGAAATGAAAGAGCTGCCTGGAGAATTAGCAAACCTGAAGGCATTAAAGTTGTTGGAAGTATCAAATTGCAAAATAGGAGGCAATCCTTATGAGGTGCTCGCCACATGTTTACATTTGGAAGAGCTATATCTTGTTAAAAATCATCTTCCAGAAATGGTGCAGATAGGTCAAAATGTTGCTAAATTTTTTCACCAAATTGGCTCCTTTAGCATACTGCAAAGGTATCATCTGGAAATTGGAGGTCCCATAAATAAAACCAAGGATGATTCATTGTCTAAACTCATATCGATAAATGATTTTGATGCCTCTATCTCAAATGAAGCAATCCAGGCATTGCCACAGACACCAGAAGTTCTTTTCTTCGAAAAGATTTGGGGAGATTGTAAAAGCATCATTCCTGACATGTTTCCAGTACAAGGCGAATGTTTGAACGAGTTAAAAGAATTTGTACTTCGTGATTCTGATTGCATAAAATGGCTGATTGACACCACAAATGATCAATTATATAAGACTAGAACCAGCTTCACCAAGTTGCAAAAGTTGAAAGTTGAAGCCATGAAGTGCTTGGAAACCTTGTGCCATGGTCCACCTCCTTCTGGCCTTTTCGAGAATTTAAAGAAGCTATTTATAACAAAATGTAGCCAATTGGCATCTCTCTTCACAACTACTACTGCTCAAAAAATGGTGACGTTGGAAGTTCTGGAAGTAATAGGTTGTGGTAAACTGAGGTATATTATAAAAGTTGAAAACAGTGACAATACTTCAGCGGGGCCTGTGCTCCAAAACTTGAAACAAATCAGTGTTAAAAGTTGTGGAAATATGAAATGCATAATGCCAATCTCTTTTGCTAGTGGCCTTTTGCAACTAGAGATTCTTGAAATAGAAGATGCTGCTAAGTTGCAATATGTATTTGGCAAAGATAATCTTGAAAAAGATCAAAATCAGAACCAAAGCATTGACCATCCATCTATGAAAATATTCAAGCTCATTAACTTGCCAATTATCATCAGCATCTGCCCACAAAATTATCATATAATGTGGCAATTGGATGAACAACTTGTAATGAGGTGTCCAAAGTGGAGGGATAGATCTTATTTATATTCAGAAACAAGTCAGCAAGGTGGTGAGAAAGCTACAAAGCAGGTAATACTAGTTTGTTAGTTTTTATGGGCTTGCTTGCTTGTGGTTGTGGAGCCTAGCTATTGCATCAATGTCTACCTAATTAGTTATTTTTGTATTCAGGCTGAATTGCTTTCAATGTTGGGTGGTAAGGACTTTGGAATCAATACTGGAGATAGTATTCCCAGGGATTTGGCACGATCAGCATCAAGGAACGATCAATTCAACACTCTTGTTAGAAGTCTTCACGAAGAAAAAGGCAAGTTACTAGTTAAAATTGAAGAAGTGGAAGCCAACACTGCTGAGCCTTCGGGATACTTGAAGCGAGAGTTAGACGAAGCAAAAGATCTCATAGAAAAAGTAGAGAAGCTCGAAGGCAAAGTGGAAGCAAGCAAGAATAGTTGTTCTTGGCTTGCCTTAAGTTGATGCGTCAATACAATGCAGGCAAGCGCTTAGCAAGGATGACAGAAGTAGTGAAGCAGATCAGTGAAAGGTTGGCATCCAAACTACATCCACTTTCATTTCCCTTGAGTCATTCTGAAACTTTCATTTCCTTTGAGTCTAGACAAGAGGAATATGAGGGGTTGTTAATGGCACTAAAAGATGATGACATTTATATGATTGGGCTTTGTGGAATGGGCGGTTGCGGTAAAACATCCTTGGCCCTAGAAATTATTAAGGTTGCAAAGCACTTGAAGCTTTTTGATGAGGTGGTCTTTGTCACAGTGTCTAGTAATCCAAATATTACTAGTATTCGAAATGAGATTGCCGAAGGTATTGGCTTGAGATTTGAATGGATGAAGATGAATTCGATAGAGCTCAAATACTGTTCGAAACATTATACGATGGTAGAAAATTTCTTATAGTCTTGGATGATATATGGGAACGTCTTGCCCTTACGGACATAAGGATTCCCATTGGTAAAGATTGCAAACTTATTCTGACGAGTCGATCACAACATATATGTGACATGATGGATTGCCAATTTATATTCAATTTGTCAGTTCTGACTGATGAGGAAGCTTGGGAGTTTTTCCAATTTCATGCTGGCGTAATAGCAGATACATTGGAAGATTTTTCTTTTGAGATTACTAAAAAATGTCAAGGAGTGCCTATTGTAATTGAAGTTGTAGCTAGATCTTTGAAGCATGCACCAACAGTTGTGTGGGAGGAATCATTGAAAAAATTGAGGGATGATTATTCACTAAATGGAGATATCGGATTCGATAGCTTTTTTTTCAAGTGTTTCAAATTATGCATCGATAACTTGGAGAATGATGAACTAAGATCACTTCTCCTATTATGTTCTCTTTTCCCGGAAGATTCGAACATTGCTTTCAAAATTTTGCTCAAATTCGCAATTGGACTGGGCATATTTGGGGATGCTGACCATATGAAAGAGCTAGAAGCCAAGTTGGTGTAGCCATTGGTAAACTCCTGGATTCTGGTTTGTTACTTGCTAAAAAAGGACAATTCGTTCACATGCACGGCATGGTGCGTGAAGTGGCCTTAGGATTAGCACAGAAAACTCATGTGACTATGAGAGATATAGTGGATCCAGAGGCCTTTGTAAGAAGGATCCATGTGGAAGTTACAAGATTATCTTGCTATGATATACATGAATTTCCATACCAGTTAAATTTCCCTAAACTTGAGATTCTATTTGTTTCTACTCGTTTTAAACGCTCACCAAAATTTGCAGATGATTTTTTCAAAGAAATGTTGGAGCTCAAGGTGTTGGCCATGATTAATACATTTGTACAGGAAAAACTTAATCTATTGTTGCCCCCGTCAATGGGTGGGTTAAAAAATCTTCGAACTCTTTGCTTGAATGGATGGATTTTGGGCAACATCTCTATTTTAGGAGAATTGAAGATGCTTGGCACTCTTGAACTAATATGCTGTGTGATTGAGGAGTTACCGACTGAATTAGCAAGCCTAAGAAAGTTAAAACTTCTGGAAGTATCACGATGCGATGTAGGAGGTGCTCCTTTTAAAGTGATAGAAAAATGTTCTCAGCTGGAAGAGCTATATTTTGTGAGCACTGTTCGTCGTAATGAGATTGTTTCAACTTATCATGCCATCCAATTACTTCACCAAATTGGCTCCTCTGAGATATTGCAACGATATTATCTTGAATTTGGAATTGGAATTTATAGTTATACTTCCGAGGATGATTTAAGATCAAGAGTCATGTATCTAGATGCTTTTTATTTTGATGCCCCCTCAGCAACAATCAAGAATTTAGCACGGAAGCTGGAGGTTTTTCACTTGAAGAATACCGAGGGACATTTTGATAATGTCGTTCCTGGCATGATTCTCATACAAGGGAATATATGAATGGTTAATTGAATTGCAACCTTGTAATTGTGATGACATAGAATGCTTGGTTGACTTTCATCAACTTTCTTATAATAAACCGGTCTTCTCCAAGTTGCTTAAGCTGAAACTGATTGATTTGAGGAGATTGAAAGCCTTCTGCTATGGTCAACCTCCTTCTGGTATTTTTGAGAAATTAGAGGAACTGCTTATAATGCATTGTGAACAATTACCATCCATAGCCTATGGTGACATGCTGAACTTGTGCAATCTCAAATACTTGAAATTGGAGGATTGTGTAAAATTAAAATCTGTCTTCTCATATTCTACTACCCAAACTATGATGTCGTTAGAAGTTCTGGAAGTAATATATTGTCCTCTCCTAGAACATCTAATAACATATGAGGGGTAAGATGACATTGTTTCTATAAGAACCGTGTTCCTAAAATTGAAATAAGTTTATGTCAAGAGCTGTGATCGTATGATGTACATAATGCCAGCATCTCTTGCTGGTGGCCTCTCACAACTTGAGATTCTCGAGATTGAATTAGCTTCTTCATTGGAATATGTATTTGGTGAAGACAATAATGACATAATTCAAAATCTGAAACAAAGCATTGATCTGCCAGTTCTGAAAGCTTTTAAGCTCACCAATTTGCCAAATATAATTAGCATTACCCCAGAAAATTATGATGTCAATTGGCCATCCTTGGATGGCCCACAAATAAGGGGATGTCCAAAGTTGATTGGCATGGCTAATTTAGATCCAGAAGAGAGACAACAAGGTGATGACAAAGCTACAAAGCAGGTAATTCTTGTGTACACACACAAATTCATCTTAGATAATTATATGGTTCTTTTTCCCATCATGGTACTTTTATCTTTTATCAATCATGTTGTAGGACTTGGAAATTCAAATGATCGAAGATGTCATTAGTACAAAATCAAATTCAAAGCTAGAGGATTTGCCTCAAGAAGACAAAAGCCATGGTACACAATTCTCTCCACATTGTCAAATGCAAAAGAAGCCAAAAAAAGAAAAAAAGAAAAAGGACCTCTGTTACATAATTCAAGAAAAAACATATTTCTATAATTCATAAATGACCACATTTTATAAGTTCATTTTAATGGCATTTAGGAGATGAACAAGAAGCTATAGAAAAAGTGGAAGAAGAACGTCACAATGATATAGAAGCTGAAGATAAGAATGAAAAGGAAGCTGAACAACACAAGGAAGAAAAATATGCCATACCAGAGGACAAGAGTGATATAATTGGACAGAGTGACGCAAGCTGTGTGGAAAGCAGACAACTTGATGAGGTACTAGCCAAAAATCCTTCTATAAGAAACTAAATTAAATATAAAATTTAACCTTATCCATGCTTTTGTGGTGTAATGTTAAGCCCGAACTTGTGAAAGCATAGGATAGAAAATTGGTACCCACCTCCTTCTTCAAACACTGAAAATATAATTTAACCTCATGCTCTTTTTTTTTCCCCTTTTGGGTTATAAAATTAACTCCATCATTAAGATCAACTTAAAAACGAAAATATATCAGTTGGCAACTAATGCACAGGGTAGATCAAGAATAGTGAAGGGAAGCCTTCATAAAGATCCCAAAGCAGAAGAATCAAAAGCGGGAACTTCATCAATGGTGGGTTCATTGCAATCTTAATTATAGGATAACATTATACAGAAGACAACCTAAAAGGCTTAAATTATTGGTTGCATTTACAGGAGTTGATTGAGAATCAATCAAAGGTTGAACTTGACCTGCCACTTGTTGTGGAGAACCCACAGCAAGCTCTTGAAGAAATCAAAGGTACCTTTTGAATTGCTCAAAAACAGAAATTTATCTGCCTAGACTGCATAATTGCTGTCAACTTTAAAACTTCAATTGGTAATGTTTCTAAGCTTCAACAAATTAACATCAGTAGTAGTAAAAATGCTTGAGCAGGATGGTTTATCTGGCATGAATTTGTGAATTTTTGAATTTTTATAGTTAACTATTGTTTTTATCTACATATTCTACTACAATTTCTTATCAACAAATGCCACTTCAAGATTCACACGAAGTTCAAGCAGCTGTAGAGGTTCATCCTCAATCACAAAAAATTGATGTAATTGATGACACTCAAGAAGGCCCTCAAGAGAAGAACTTAAATCCTGATGGTTCAATGAACTTGAGAGAGGTGTATCTTGGCTCCTATTACTTTCCTTCACATTAGTAAAATACTCAATGAATTCATAGGCGTATAAAGTTAAGTTCATCACTGAAAATGAACTTAGAAGCTAAAATATATTAATTATCAATTTATGTGCAGATTAACACCGACATAGCAACAGTAAGTCTCCGTAAAGATCCTGTTTCAGAAGAATCAACAGTGAAAACTTTATCACCGGTAGGTTCATTACCTGCTTCTTTATGGAATAACATTAAACGCAAGAGAACCTAAAATGCTAAAATTATTGGATTCATTTACAGGTGTTGATTGACAAACAACCACAAGCTGTGATGGACCCACAACAAGATTACAGAGGTATCTTTTGAGTTGCTTATATTAAATAATGTATATTCTCAAGTTGTTTATCATTTAATAACTTTAAAATTTCAATAGAGAATATTTCCAAGTTTCAAATAAGTTGCAAACTTACAACTATGACTTCCCAACTTAATTTTCATGGCTTGCTGCCTATCATTTTTATTGTCATATTCTTCTTATAGCTCGTCACCAAGAAGTGCTTCCTGAAGATTCACACAATGAGGTTCAAGGAGCTTCTGAGTTTCAACTACATTCACAAAAAATTGATGCAATTGCTGACCCTCCAAAAAGCCTTCAAGAGAAGCACCTTTTTACAGTTGGTTCAATGAACTCAAGAGAGGTGTAACTTGTGTTAATTTCTTTCACATCTGTACATTACTCAACAAATTTTCTTCTTCTTAGCTGTGCAAAATTAAGTTCACCTCTAAAGAATTGAGAAACTGAAATATCAATTTACAATCAATATGCAGAGGAACACAGAAATTGTCAAGGAAAGTCTTCATAGAGATCCTGCACTAGAAGAAACAACAGTGGGATCTTCATCACTGGTTGGTTCACTACACTCTTCTTTATGGGATCACATAATATAAAAGACAACCTTTAAAAGGCTAAAACTATTGATTACACATGCAGGAGTTGATTGAGAAACAACCAAAGGTCAAACTTCAACTATCACAATTTGTGGTGGACCCTCAAGAACCTCTTGAGGAATACAAAGGTATCATTTGAATTGTTCAAAGAATTAGTGTATATTTTGAAGTTTCACACACTGTTAGCAACTTTAAAATTTCTCCGATTTTAATTACTCAAACAAAATTTCTGGTCATTTTATTTGCTGCGTCTTTTCCTCTGCATGTGCATCCAACAGTGCTTTCGCCAATTACCGGTATCGCAGAAGGAACAACTTCATCTTCAAGAAATCAACAACTATCACCAAAAGAGTTGGTTGATTTTCATGGTCTCTTTAAGATTAAGGCAAGACGGGCTCAATTGCTAGAAGAGGCATTTGACAAATATCCTCGTTTATGGCAGTGGATGTTCTCACAAAAGACACCCAGATTCTGCAAATGGGGGTACAAAACCTTAGCTGACATGTTAGAGTTTTTAACATCAGAACCACCAAATGCAATAATGGATGGTTTAAAGAGGAAGAAATATGAAGATCTATGTCTTGAATTGGAATCTTTTGGCTTTGACAAGGACTGGTTGGCATCTATTCGTCAAAGAGTGATGGATATGCAAGTTGATCGTGATGAAAAGATGAAGCAATTAGTTGAATTGGAATATCAAGTCAGCACCTTAAAAGATCAGCTTAATGTTGCTAGAGCTAGAATGGACAGCATAAAGGATGATCTATCTAAGCTTGATGTAATTGGCTTTTAAGTTTGGTCAGTATTGAGACACTTACGTAACTCTTGTGAGGTCACCATATTTATCTGAACTTCAATGTGGCAAGTTTTTTCTCATGTTTTTTTACTGTTCACACCTCCTTTCCTCTGCACAAAGGCATTACGGGAAGATTTTCTTGTTCACTTAATCATATCCTAGAATTCAAATATTTATTATCATGGATATTTGGCTATGACTGACTACAATTATATACAAAATACAATGCCATAAGCCATAGTAGTTTTGATTGCTATAATAAATAAACAAGGCTATAAGGAACAAGACAGCACCTTGGGCCTCTCTCTTCATAATCAAGTATTCTTAGGTTTATGAAATGATTGGAGTGACACAAGCTTGATGAGAAGAGAGGGACCAAACAACCAAAAGCCCAATTTATAACCATCACGAACTTATCAAGAGTCTTGTCTTTTCACTATCCTATGATTTTTTTGGCCCAATTAATTTCAGTTCATGTACCAGTCTAGCCTTCTCTCCATTTCCTGCCTGATCAAGATCGAGAGACGCGCCACCGAAAGCCGCCGTGGCAGTTCATGTACTAGTCTTACCCTTCGTTTGGATAAATAGAAATATGAAAAAAATTTCTGAAAATAGTAACAAAAAAAAATTTACTATTTCTGAAAATTTCTCATTCTAATTTCACTCTGTGCTATTTTTTTTTAACTTTTTCTCCATTATATTTACCTCAAACGAGCAAGATTAGCTAAAGGACACACATCTTAACTCAAAATCTTAATGCTCAAATTTATGAGTACTTTTTTTTTATTATATATTAATTATTAAGTTCAACTTTATCCAATATAGAACTTCTCACCTTGTCTCAAGTCCACCTAAGCTTCTCATCAATAATAAACATTATCTTAGCTAATAAATAATATCTCCTAAAATCTCAATTATAAATATAATAGAGATATAACAGACTTTAAGCCAATCCAATTAATATATAAAAATATATAAAAATAATCGCAGAAAATTATAAAGATGTGAGTCGTAACCTCAACATTTTAGTGTCTCATCCTCCGCCTCTTGATCTAATAATGTTGTCACCAAGTTCTGGAAAATCTACCACTCCCTTAATCTCAAGATGTGCTCGCTCACTCAAAGAGGCATTTGTCAAATATCCCACATTTATGGGATTGGAAACACCAAAGACAATGGATGAGTCAAAGATGAAGGAATTTGAAGATCTATATTATGAACTTGAACATGTCGGCTTTGACAAGAGCGGCTGGCATCTATTTGGCAGAGTGATGGATATGCAAGCTGATCAGTGGATGCTCAATTTAATATTAATTTTTTAATAAATATCTAAAAATATAGAAATATTTAATAAATTTATTTATCACCAATTTAGTTAGGCATAGATTTAATTTAAATAGTCCAATTTAATATTAATTTTTTTTATAATTTTTAAAAATTAACTATCCAAATATACTCTGAACAGTATAGATATAATTTGGATGGTCCTTTTAATATTAAATTTTTTATAAATTTTACAAAATAATAATCTAGATATATTTTGAACAGTCTAAATTCAATATTAAATTTTTTAATAATTTTTATAATTTTATTTTGATAAATATAATATTAAAAATATTTTGAAAGATAATTTAAAATCAATTGCAGAGATTAGTTGAGGTGAAATCAAGGGCTGAGATACCCCTATGGGGTGCAGAGCACCAATTGCGGATCCTAACTTTTGTGACAGATACTATTGTAGATTACTTACTAGAAATGGTTAGAATGAAAGAAAATAATATTTAACTAAAATCTTTTTATATCATTCTATATCGTCTAACTAAAATCTTCACAGATATTTTGGTGTCATAACAGATTTTTTTTTTAAAAAAGAATATTAATGGAAAATGATAATATTTAAAAGTTCTAGATGTTTCGCAAATTTTTACTTGTTGATCTTAAGGAAGAAAATTGTTTTCTGGATTTTCTTTGAATAATTACTGTTTTTTTTTTTTTTTTGTTGTTGCTAAGAGCCCGTAACAAGATGTACATCAACTAATGAAATGTGAACCTGTTCCCTCGTGAAGCATGTATTAATTTGGGATAGGCTTCAGCATCATACTTATGAGTGCTATGAATCCATGATACTCATCATAATAATGAGATAGGAGTCATCCAAAATTGATTTTAACGGTCAAGATTTAATATTAATGAAAAGTAAAATTATATTAAGAATATATTATCTAGTTTTAATTTGAATTGTTCAGATTGGCACTCACCACTATAAACTGATCAGGTATTAATTTACGAATTAATCAACTGACAACTGCTAAAGTTTTGAAGTCCAGAGTTTGCTATTTTAAACGTACTTTAGCATCGTCCAGAAAATTTGTTGCTGCTTTCATTCGTTGGCCCTCAATTTCAAGCTTATGAATGAGAAATGAGCGGAAAATTGTCATTTTTCACATCTAACATGTTTGTCTCTACTCGAAGCACTTTTTGGATGTCTCGAGTGTGATGTAATCCCTCCGGTTTATAAAGATAAAATTAATTAATTTCATAGTTATTAAGAAATGTTAATTAATATCTTTAAATTTATAAAAAAAATGTTAGACTTTTAATTTTTCCCTTCATTAAAATTAATGACAAAATAAAATGTATATGAAAATTATAAGTTAATGCAATTACAAAAATAATAAAAAAAATTAACTATTACTATATCTCTACTCCATATTTTAATTTTAAAACTTTACTCAATAGGACGAAAACCAATACTTAGAGTGTATTTGGGAGTTTAATATTGAATGGAATGGAATGAAATTGAGAGGAGCAAAGAGGAATGGAATAAAATTTTTCATTGTCTGAAATTTTTATGATAAGAAAGAATGGTCTGATGTGATACTGGCCTTTTAATGAAAGTACTAATTAATATAACGAGCATAAGTTTAAAGAAAAAACTCATTTTAAAAGAGTAACTTTTAGGTCGGATAGCCTCTTAAGCTTATAAACCTTACTCAACTTATGACGCTCCCCGACATGGGACTTGTTACATAAACCTTCCAACATTAACCATCCACTGTTCATCTTCATCCCAGGTTTCCCTCATAAAACGATCAAAATCTTGATGAAGAACCCAGAATGGATAATCTTGTCGGTTCCGTTGAGGCACATGTTCAGTTAATTTAAGTAAAACCGGACGGTGATCAGACTTAAAAAAGGGGAGATGAAATACCGTTGCATTGGGGTGGTGATCAACAAACTGATGGTTTACATGAAATAGGTACTAGCGCATCTGAGATCAATTAAATTCAACTCCTTAATCCACTTATAAAGGGCAGTGATAAATTATCTCAGATTTCGATAAATGAATGAATGGATCATTGCCTTTTAAAACATTAAACTTCTACTGATCTTCATCCCCAAACACCCTAATCCCACCACTAAAACCTCTAGCATTCATAATTTTCATAATTATGAAAACCCACTCTTCTTGTCTCAATCCTTAGATTTATTTTTAAATGGTTGAGATTTAATATTTCATAAAATTATTATTAAAATATGAAATTTATGAAAAATAAATAAATAAATTTAAAATATATGTAACCAATTTCTTCTAAACTACAATTCAGGATTTATGATTACAATTAAAAAATAGAAAAATTAATTTTATGAAATGTTAAATTTCAACCATATAAAAATAGATCCAACAGGTTGAGATGGAACGTGAAAAGAGGAAAAATGGAGAGGCCAAGTCCTTTTTTATCTAGTTTCTCTCCTAATTATCTTTTTTCCCCCTTTTTTCTTTTCATTCCAAACAATGCCGTATTATATTGTTGCAAATCCTTTCTCTATCTATTAAGAATGTGGAGTGACAGCCTGAAAAAGGAAGAAGAACAATGGACGAAAGTAGCAACTGGAAGAATACTAGATCTTTGTAACTCAATTAAAACTTAAAACTTAAGTTTATGTGTCCTCCATCTTTATTACATATTAGTTATTAAGCCTAACTTTATTTGATATAGAGTTTTCAATTATTTTAAGTCCATTCACATATAGATAACTTAACAATTTCATTCAAAAATTCATCTCTATGCTTCCCATCTCTGTCATCTTTTGACTAATTTCAGGATCTTCTTATGCTGTAATTGTTTACTTGAATTTTCTTTTCCCTTGTTTCAACAACGGTGAGGAAGACATGGAAAAAACGTTGCATTGAGGACTTTGACAATTGACATCAAGCTTAAATCGATTGTTCCCAAAACAGTTCTCTCATAATTAATCACGCGATTCTCAATTCCACAAACAATCCCAACATATATAAAATTGAGTTGTTTCTTTAGTGATATACTCCTCCGTCCTTACATACAAGTCATTTTTAACTAAATTATTGATATTGTGTGAGAAAGAAGTAAGTTTCTCAAAATTTTCTCATCAAATGCATCATCTTTAAAAAATATATATATATACTTTTTTCTCATATGTAAAATTTTACTCTACTCACAGAAAATTATGAAAGGATAAAATTAAAAAAAGTAATCAATAATCACTTTGCACAGTAATCAATAATCCATCTTTTATGCAAAGTGATTTATAAAATGATTACCAATTTCTTCTACAAGGTCACTTATATATAGGATTGGAAAATGAATGCGTGTTTATATATATTTTTGTTGCTTTTATGTGAAGTTTGAAGTGATGGGTTAGTCTTCAAATTTTTTTTACTGCGAAATTTTGCTTTTGAAAATAAGGTGAATCAATGGATCTTGCCTATTTTGCAATTACATAAATCCCATTAAAAACGTTCCACCCCTTGACTTAGAACTTATTCCATGATATTCAATTCTATATTTAGCTATTTATATTTCTAATGTGAAAAATTTTAAACACAGTATGAAAAAATATTATTTTATAAAATATATTGCTAGAATAACATAATAGAGTATTTTAGATATACTTTTCGTATCTTCATGACGCAAAACACTCCATGTGCAAAAACCAGCGGCAAAAGCCATGCATTTTGCAATTAGCTCATTTTGAAATAAGTCAATGCATTATTGCTTAACTCCGTATATGAATTATTGTTCCATAAACTCCTAGACCGCGTCAAGTGAGAATAATGTTTTTATTTTGTTAACAATTTAATTAATTAAGCAAATAAATTACCTTATCATATTT